AGCCACCGACTCGCCCGCCAGCCAGTCCGCTCCCGCCGGTCAGACGCGGAGGCGCGCATGCGCCGCGGTAGAGCGCCGGGGCCCCTCCCCTCACGGAGGGTGAGGCGCGGCTGCCGCGCCGTGAAGCTCGCTCTGTGGGGGCAGCTGCCCCTCGGCACAGCCGGCGGGAGGTCTCGGTCTCTGGGTGGAAGCCTGGGCTGCCCCTGTGAGAGGTGCAGAGGCTGCACGGGCCCGCGGCGGCCTTTGCCCAGAATCACCATTAATTTTCCGCACTAGGGGTTGCCCCTCCATCAGAGGGGGAAGCCCAGCAGAATCTGGGCTTCCTAGCTGTGGAGAACCTGTCATAGGTTGCTTTCTCCATGCTTTACCCGCTCAAGTTTAGCATTAGGCTGTTCAGAAGAGCCATGTAGCTCCCCTTAAGGTTTCTGTCAGGATATGAGCATCTTCTGCTCTCCATAGCCTTATGAGCAAAATTGGTTGTGTCCCCACGTGCAACAATCTGCTCACTTGGTGCAACCGCAGCCCGGCCTACATGCCAGGGCTGGGGATGCCTTGTGGAAGTTGCATTACAGGGAGAAAGAACACTAGGAGGGAGGCAATTTGGACTGGTTGGTTTGTTTGCTTGCTTGCTTGCTTTTCCATTATTTGGGTGAAGACAGTCATGCCAGTAGAAAATCTGGGACAGGTGTTACAGCTGGTGAAGCCTCAGCAGGTGGAAGCTCACCTGAAGCACTTGAGTGCTCAGCTCCCTCCACTGTCCTTTGCACTCAGGTAACCACGGGGACCAGCAGGTTGCCATTTACTGTCCCAAAATACCTGGTAGCAAGTGTGCAAATATGGAAGAGCTGTGTTAAGTACACAGTGTGTTTATTCCAATGTTTAGTTTTAACCAGCTTGTACCTGGTCCACTGAATTTGTTTATGAAGTCTTACTTGATTCTTCTGTTTTACAGTGTTAAGCTCAGATGCCTAATTATTATGTGAAAAGTACACAGTGACCGTCCTGCTTCTGCAGGGTTAATTGGCCTGATGAGGTTCTTTCAGGCGTTCTGACAGAGTAATTGCACACACCTGTTTGTATTGTTGGCTCAGGCTATAGTTACACAGTTTCTTAGTTCTTTTGAGCAGAAAAGAGCTTTGCAAGTTGTATTGCAATACTAAGCAGCCGTTCATCTTGTTCTGTCTTGCAAAGTATCACAAGAGGGCGCTCACCTAAAGCTAAAAGTGCAAAATTGTGCATGCATTCCCTTTTTCCCCCTTGTTTTTCCCAATCCAATGTTTCGACATTGTGCTCAGATATATTATAAACAGATGAAAAAGTATCCTCTATGGATTAAGAGGATATAGGCAAAAGTGTTAGCATGAAGAAAATGATACAATTTATTTGCATGATTTAATTGTCGTATTTAATTGTGATTTAATTTTAATCCAGGTGACTAATTTAGAGTATTAGCTACTGAGAATTAAAATAGTTTGTTAATAACTATGATGGTGATGTGTCTTTTGTTTAATTATGAGCTGTCGTAGTGTTTGAACTCTGCACTACTGAAGATTGAGGCAATGTAGAGACTTCATCAGATTGAGAACTGTGAGCAAGTTACAAAAGTTATCTGTAACTTCTTACCTGTAACAAGTTATCTCATTGCCGCAGAAGATGAAAACTAAGTTAATTGCATTTAGACATACACTAGCACGTATAGATGAATCTCAAAACCAGAAGAAATAACTAATGAGTTATTTTTTGTTTAGTTCATTCAAAAGAAAGAAATTTAAGACTTCAGAAACCTATGAATGAAGTGTTTGAGAGGAAGTAATTGAAACAGCCACAACTCACTTGTAACTAATGTAGCTAAAGGGAGATGCAGTCTTCCTTAATGGTCTGCTGGGCAAAATGTCAGACTTGTCCCATTTTAGTCTCATCTTTTTCTTTGCTTCACACAGGAATTAACACTGATATCATTTTCTGTATAGAAAATTACATCCAGTTGCTGTAACCTTCTCATACTTGTTTACTAGGCATAAAATGGCTATTCACGTGGAGTCACAGTTGACTGAATATGTTCACTTTAAACAGAAAGAAATGGAAACAGAAATGCAAGTGTTAACAGATTTTATCAAATGTTACAGGTATTAATGGTTACATAAGTGCGTGACACTCAACTTAGTTCCGAAGTCCACTGTCTAGTAGGTAATCCGAGACAAAACAAACACAAGCATTTCAGCAAGGTTTTATTTTGTCAGTAACCAACCAAAGTAATTTTTTTCCATGATCCCGATAATGTACAGAACGAATCCTTATATAATGAATAATTATCAGAATAACGAATAATAACTGTGCGATTACTGGTTTTGCTGAGAACTTATTTTCTCCCAGTACAATCCAGAATCCCAGTTCTATACGTGTTCTTTGCACTTATTTTGCTTTTAGGCTTCCTTTTGGACATTACCGTGACGATTTGGAGGGGTTCGCACGCTCGGGGGCACCCGGGAGGCGCCGCTGGAGGCCGCGGCCCCTTTAAGGCAGGTAGCGGGGCGGGGGCC